CGAAAGATACAAGGCAAGACTCGTGGCTAAGGGATTTACGCAAATTGAAGGAGAAGATTTTCATGACACGTTTGCTCCGGTAGCAAAACTCGTCAATGTTCGTACGTTACTTGCCGTGGCCACCAAGAACAATTGGCTCATCCACCAACTCGACGTTAACAACGCCTTTCTACACGGCGACCTACACGAAGAAGTATACATGAAAATACCGCAAGGTTTTTCCAAGGAAAACGAGACTCGGGTATGTCGGCTACGAAAATCTCTCTACGGCCTCAAACAAGCCTCTCGAAACTGGTATCAAAAGTTCACCACCGCCCTTCTTGGTCTTGGTTTTTGTTCATCCAAATCAGATCATTCCCTTTTTATCTACTGAAAAGATGGAATTTTCATTGCTAGCCTCATATACGTTGATGATGTCATCATTACGGGAAATGATTCTAAAAAGATACAAGAAATCAAACAAAGCCTACATGACCAGTTTAGCATAAAAGATCTCGGTGAGTTAAAGTATTTCATTGGGATTGAAGTCGCTAAGACTTCGAGTGGTCTTGTTTTGAGCCAACGAAAGTACACTCTTGACATTTTGGAGGATTGTGGCATGGAAGGGTGTCGCCCGAGCTCTTTTCCCATCGAACAAAACATCAAATTTGCCATGGATGACAAAGATCCCAAGGTCGATGCCACTTATTACTGGCGACTCATTGGCCGATTACTCTATCTTCAGGCCACCCGTCCAGACATTGCTTACTCGGTTAACATCCTCAGTCAATTCGTTTTAGATCCTCGCAAAAATCATATGGATGCCTTGTTCAGAATTTTACGATACCTCAAGGCTACACCCGGTCAAGGTATTCTTTTACCAAAAGAAGGTGGCGTGAATTTAGTTGCCTACTCTGACTCAGATTGGCTTGGTTGTCCTCTCACACGGCGCTCTCGAACGAGTTACTTGCTTCTTCTCGGTGGCGCCCCCATTTCGTGGAAAACAAAAAAACAGTCCGTTGTTTCACGCTCTTCTGCTGAGGCCGAATATCGGGCCATGGCTGCCACCGTTAGCGAACTTATTTGGATGCGATGGCTCTTGAAGGAACTCGGCCTTCCCCAACTTGCATCCACTACCATTTTCTGTGACAATCAAGCAGCTCGACATATTGCTAATAATCCCGTCTTTCACGAACGCACTAAGCACGTTGAAATGGACTGCTACTTCGTTCGTGAATGTGTTGAATCGAAAGAAATTTGCCCTATGCCGATCGACTCGAAGCTTCAACTTGCTGATCTTCTTACGAAGGGTCTCGGAGCTGGTCAACTTCGTTTCCTTCTTGACAAGCTGGGCATTGTTAATTTACATGCTCCACCTTGAGGGGGAGTATTGGTTTTCAATATTCGATATTATCCCCTCCCTTTTTATCTCCTGATTTATTGCCTTAATTTATGTTTTTCCCTTTTAAGTCCTTTTCTATTTATCGGAGGTTTACTCCATTCTTTGTAATTGAATTTTTAAGAACAATATTTTTTTACTCAATCAATGATACGAAACCTCAATTTCATAATTAACAACATTACACGTCTGAATGTCGTATCAAAAGGAGAAGATTAGTACCTGACTATGCAGTCCACAAAAACACCGATCATATTACATATAAATTCAAGCTTATAAATTGTTATCAATAAGGATTGGATTCCATAAAAAACAATGTGACATCAAATAATTGTTTTCAAGCTTGGAATTTTTTTTTTTATAAAATCAACTTATATGATTTTTGGAAATATTAAAGGATGTTAAAACTTATATTTTAGGAATACATATTAGATAGTTAAACTTTATAATTGTTACATTTAAACATGTTGTAAGAAATAGTGCCATTGTAATTCTATTTATTTTAAAAACATATATATAAATTAACCAAATATGCATTCTTTCTTTAAATAAAATATACATCATCAAATTAGAAGTAAAATTTTATGAAATTTGAATTATATCAATTTATCATACCCCATAATGATTACACCCTCAATTAAATTATATAATTAATTATGATTGTCCATTAGTATGATTTATTATCTCTTTGATTTGGGCTACATGGTTTGAAATTGTTCTAACGAATATTGAATAAAATGAATATGATATTATCACAACCTAGAAAAATAAAACTTCAAAATGTAAAATCAAATTCAGTTACAACCAAGACAACCCAAAAGTTAAATACAAGTTCATTTTTTCTTACTTCACGCAATTATACAATAAACAAAAAATTAATAAACTGGAAATGCACTACTTTGTATTAAATGTTTTTTTTCAGTTACATATAATACAATTTGAAATTTAAGAGACCAAAACGTTTTCAAAATTTGAAATATTTCCTATCAAGAGAAGAAAGTAACCGTTTTTGGCATTATCAGTTACATTTATTATAATTTATTATTCTAATAATGAAATGTCTTAAATAAATTAATGATGTGTCAGTAAAATAAAAATGGAATAAATAAGAAAATGACATGTGGAAAACAAATTAGTCAAAAATGCTAAGAAAATTACATGTGGCAAAATCAATTAGAACATGACAAGTGACAAAAACATTTTGGTTTATTAGAGAGGATATATATATATATATATATATATATATACACACGTTAAATACAAATATTAGAATCATGATGAGCTTTTTAGACCTTACTATAACATAATTTTATATAAGTAAATATAATATGGTTAGTACTTTGGCAATTATTTAACAAAGCTATATATATATATATATATATATATATATATATATATATATATATATATATATATATATATATATATATATATATATATAAACCATCTTGCATTCTCTAAACTTATGATAAATACATATATACTTGCTTGAAACCATATCCCTTTACGAAAGACAACATGATTTTGGTAGGTTAGCCAATATGTATTGGGGAATTCAAAATAGGATTATAAAAAATTTAGATCACAAACAGGAATCGTGTAAATACTTTCTTTGTTTGATATTTCGATCATATATGCCTTAGGTATCACAAAATCCGAACTAGGATAATTCCTGAAGCAACAATTCTGATTTCAAGCACAAAATCAAAATCAATTTTAATAAGATGAAGAACAAGAAGAACCATGCGTTGTTTTTCTCTGTGTTTCAATCTATATACCGTTTCCCTAACTTATCCAAACAACGGATAAATGAAAAATGATTTTAATCTTTTCAAGAATGACAATTTAGTCATTGTACTGTTCTTAAAACCATAATTAGGGTCCAGTACTAATAATGTTTTGTAAATACAAGTGTGCACTTTCGCTCCTCCTAACTTGTATTATAACAAAACACGTTATTTTTGAAACATTTATTAAGTTCATTACACTAAAATATATTTGGTGATAAAATCACCAACAATATGAGAATGACATAACCTGAGTTTTTGAACATTATATATTCTAAGTTAATGAACCGCAAAACAATAGATAGGTTGTAAAACAACCATTCATAACCCCGAACTGTAGGTGAGTTATCTCTGAAAACAGTAAAACTACAATTTAGTAGCAACCAGTGCCGTTACATATATTTAAATTCGATGCGGTACAGTTCAGTATTGATATCAGTTCCGGTACAATACCAATACTGGATCAGAATTTGATACTAAATACTCATCACATTAAAATATTTGAAAATAATTCGGACAAAAAAATTAAAGAATAAAGTCAATAAACTGTTAAAAGTTTTTTTTTTTTATTTTTTTTTTTCACGACAATGTGAGTTAGACTTTTTTTTGTTTGGGAAAATGACTTATTAAGGTAACTAACTATTTCAATTGTTCATATATATGTAATGTTCTTTTTTTTGTACACATTAAGGTAACTAACTTGTTTTGTTTGTTCACATTTAGGTAATATGACCGGCTATCACCTGTTTTTGCTTATGTGGCATCCACCTGGCATTACGTTGCACCTACGTGGCATGGTGCATATATGGGAAAATGACTTATTAAGGTAACTAACTATTTCAATTGTCCATATATAGGTAATGTTCTTTTTTTTATACACATTAAGGTAACTAACTTGTTTTGTTTGTTCACATTTAGGTAATATGACCGACTATCACATGTTTTTGCTTATGTGGCATCCACCTGGCATATGACTTGAATACGTTACACCTACGTGGCATCCACCTGACATATGACTTGTTTTGTTTCTTCTTCCTCATCTTATTCTTCAAAACAACAAGATGAATTTCAAGCTGATCATCCATGTGATTGCGGCTTACCATCTCGTGTGAAGATTTCAAGAACTCCTGACAACCATGGAAGAAAATTTAGAGTTTGTCAAAACTCGATGGTAAATCAATATTGTTGAATATGTTGCAGGAGTTCTTGAAATCTTCACACGAGATGGTAAACCGCAATCGATGATCAGCTTGAAATTCATCTTGTCATTTTGAAGAATAAGATGAGGAAGAAGAAGCCATCATCGATCGATCTAGGGTTTAGAATTAGGGGTGGAATCGTATGACATAGTTATAGTGTAATCGAATGAAGACAAAATATGCACCATGCCATGTAGGTGCAACGTATTCAAGTCATATGCCAGGTGGATGCCACATAAGCAAAAACATGTCATAGCCAGTCATATTACCTAAATGTGAACAAACAAAACAAGTTAGTTACCTTAATGTGTACAAAAAAAAAGAACATTACCTATATATGGACAATTGAAATAGTTAGTTACCTTAATAAGTCATTTTCCCATATATGCACCATGCCACGTAGGTGCAACGTAATGCCAGGTGGATGCCACATAAGCAAAAACAGGTGATAGCCTGTCATATTACCTAAATGTGAACAAACAAAACAAGTTAGTTACCTTAATGTGTACAAAAAAAAGAACATTACCTATATATGGACAATTGAAATAGTTAGTTACCTAAATAAGTCATTTTCCCTTTTTGTTTTCATTTCTTTAATTCTAGAAAGGGCATAGACATAATTAATGTCCAAAAAAACGGGTATAATCGTAATTGACAATCATAACCAGATCTGAAAAGTGGGAAAATAGCGTTTCACTTGAAATTAAGCAAAACGTTCTTTCTCCACTCGTTGATAGAACAGGAAATCAAACTCCCAAAAACCAGAATTCAATCAACGAAGATGATGATGAAGATGATGACAATGATCATAACTAGAATAATTTTCTTGCTCCTGTTTTTGTCACACGCAATCGCTTATACACGGTTTAATCTTTCTCATTTCATCTATCCGAAAATCAGCGACGAATTTCGCCCTCAACCATCTCTTTTCCTAAAGGTAAAACACTCGATTCATGTTTAACTCGAATGTGTTTCTTATAGTGTCACTGTCGTCAATTTTTGATTTGCAACTTTATTTCTGATTCACAAATTCGAAATAAAAGTCGTATAAAAAAATCTTCAGCCAATTGACGAATTGAACAAAGTGTTTACAAATAGTTCACCTCAATTGATAATTAACTTCGTAGCTCTTTATTATAGGATATTCTAGGAGAAATATCTGCTACTGAACACTGGAAGTCGGAAGACTTTAGGGTTTTGAATCTGGAAATAGAGAAGGTTAAGTTTGGGAATTTGCAGAGATACGAGATTGAGTTTCTGTTAAGGAACAAGAAAGATTATGTATTTAATTCGATGGATAATGTTTCTTCATGGAAGAGATTTAAAGACAAAGAAGGCGATTTTGAGGTTATGGCTAATGAAGTGAGTTCAAAAGCAGTTCTTGGATCAATTCAAATCGAAGGGCCTGTTGAATTACTAGTTTCTGGAGACAATGAAATGTCTTTGCTACTACCAGTATGCTCCTTTCTCCAAACCTCCATCCTAATTCCTACTAAATCTTCTTATTTTTAATTTTCTTTGAGGTTTTGTTATACCTCTATTTACAATGTGTTTCAGTGGAACACATCACATTCTGGTCTGAAGAGGATACTTGTTGGAGAAGACGTAACTGTAGAAGTGAAGAATGCAAATGAAGTCTCTCTTTTTAAAACATCAAATCTTGGACAACAAGCAGATTCAAAACATAATCTTATTGATCATATCTTTCCATACATGACATGTACGCCATTGCTTCCAGTAAGAATTTCCGGATCTTCATCTGTAGTTGCCTTCAGGACTCAAAATCCAGGTGCACACATCACATCAAATCTTCTATCCAATCATGTTATTGAATTGCTACCAGATAAATGTTACTCCAAACATACATATAAGAAGCAACCATGTCCTATTAAATCATTGAGGTTGAGGATAAGATTGTTGGAAACAGTATTGAAGAGCTTATTAGGTGATAAAATTGGTTATGGGGCTAAACTTAAAGCAAAGATTGAAGCATCAACTGCTTTTCGTTTTGTGATTGAAATAGAAAGGAAAATTAGGATGAATGATACTAGGTGGACTACTATGGAAGAATGGAGAACAAAGCCTAGTGTTGAGCATGTATGGTTTGATGTATTGGCAAGAATTGAAAATAGGAGGTTAATGCCAATAGTTGTTAAGAAAATGAAGCCTTTTGTTGGAGTAGATTCATCTGCATGGAGTAATTTGATGGCAAATATGTCTTTTACTAAATTGTCATCTGTTCTTGTAGCTCCTGAGGCTCTTACACTTGATGTGAATTGGTAGGAAAATTGTATTGTGGAATAACTTTCATCCTCATATGTATTGAGTTACTTGTAAAAAAGGTTTATAGTTTGAAGTTTGTAAATCGAGTTCAAATACATTGTAAGAGAGAGAAGAAAATGAAGATTTGAGTAATGAAGAACCAAAAGGGTACATTTTTCATTGCAAATGTTTTGCCTCAATAAATGATGGAATATAGTGTGATTCTTAATTGTTAATCAATAGAAGTAAGCATTATGTCTTGAACTCTTGATTTTGATTACTCAACCAATTGATGGAATGAGCATTGGACATTGTACACTAAGGTGTTGTTTGTTTTTTAATAAGTAAAACGTCTGAGTCTGTTGACTCTGCAGAAGAAAAGGTGGACCAAAAGTGTCATAAGCTATAAAGTTTAGTGGGAACACATCTGCAGAAGAAGAGGTGGACCAAAAGTGTGATAAGTTATTAAACTTAGTGTACGTATATTACTGTAAAACCGTATACATTGGTCATTACCAATATAACAAAATTTTTAACTATAATATATGCAATAATGACAATAAGCATTATGTGATTCTTAATATCAACAAATGAGCTTGTCATTCATTTATAGATTTCTTTCCATAAAAGAGAGTGAACATACTTTCTATTTTGGAATTCAATTCAATGATGTGATTATTCCCATTTCATCTAACCACTTTTATGACTTAGCTAATTTCACTCCAAAATTGCTTATCCAAGCAATTTAGCGCCATATCACCGTTAACCCTTGAATTATAGAGTTAACTCATGCTAATATAATAACAGCATTTTCCACTAAAATGTAAGTCCCATGGGGTATCCCTTTTTTATGCTCTACCATTACTTCAAAATACATTAGGGTCTCCCTCACTTTCCCATTGCCATTTAAGTCATTACCCCAAACCCCCTAAAATTTACGAAACCCTTGTTAAGATTCAATCCACAAAGCTATAATATAGATATCATACCTTGATTTTTGATTGTTAATTTAACATAAAGATGTTACATTTTGCCAAAATCTGACTTTAATCGCTACAAAAACTACAAAATCACACATACCGATTTTAAGGATATGTTAATGTCGAATTGATTTTGGAATGTTAATTTAACACCAATTGATTACAGCAAGTTGCTACGGAGTGGCGGTGACGAATTAGAACCCAAAATCATGTTGTTTCTTATGTAAGTGAAACCGAAAAAAATAAGAGAGTAAATAATACTAAAGGCGGCCTAGTGCTTGGCGGATGGGCGGTAGTGGGATGATACTGATGGTCAGACTACAAACGACATGACAGATTGCAAAACTGGTGGTCAGGTGGGAGCGATCATCAGGACGACATCGTATGATGCTTCAGAGATGTTGATAATGCCCACACAAAGTTTCATATTTCAAGACTTTTTTTATATTCTTTTTCCCTTTATTGTTTAACTTTATATGAACTAGAATATTGGCTCATTATTACATTTTAAGTGGATTCAAGTATAAAATATATTCACATATTTTGATCCATTTTTTTTTGGAAAATTTTATAAGGTAGGTCTCTAAAAATTATAAGACAGTCTACTGTTTTTTTCATTCATAACTTATATTATTTTTACAAAAATTAGATGGGTCCTAACACCCATCTTCACTATATATAGATTCGTCCATGTTGCGATGTCATTATCTTTTATTCATTACTTTGTAATACACATGAAAAAATATACAAAATTATAGATACAATGAGGATGGGTACTTATATGTATACGGTATACAATATATATGTATACGGTATATAAAAATATACAAAATTATAGATACCATGAGGATGGGTATTTATACATATACGGTATACAATATATTCGTATACGGTATATAAAAATATACAAAATTATAGATACCATGAGGATGGGTACTTATACGTATACAGTATACAATGTATACGTATACGATATACAATATATCTTTACCTACACATTAGACATCTCAATCTTTCTTTCACTTATGTCATCACCGGTGCTCCCTTCACCAATTTGCTTCACACTCACACTCATACTCACACCCACAATCTTATATTTATACCAATTTGCACACATCAAATACACCCCTAAATTCACTAAACTTAACACTGCTAACAACCAATAAAAATAATTCAACTTATCTCTATTCAAATTATTACTACCTAACCACCCACCACTCACTTTGTTCACCACCTCCACCACAATCGAGCTCAAATAATATCCAAAAGCCAATGAACACCATGAAATAGATGTCCCAAGTGACTTCATCCCCGATGAACTCTCTTCATAAAAAAACTCCAACAACCCCACCAACGTAAACATATCCGCCACCCCAAAAATCGCGTATTGAAACCCTAGCCAGAAAACCGTTAATGGTAGCGGGCCCGGTGAATCCACCATGTTGTTATCAATCGCGACGTTTTTCCGGTGGGTTTCCACGATTCCGGCGACCATCATTGAGATAATGGAGAGGATTAATCCGATTCCGATTCTTTGAAGGTGTCTGATTCCGGTTGGAATCCCGGTTACCCTTCTTACCAATGGGACAAAAACCCGATCGTAAATTGGAATCAGGATAAACATGAAGAGAAGCGGGATTACTGGAATTGAAGGACCCGGGACTTTGAAACCGAGGAGGTTTCTATCCATGGTTGTGCTTTGTTGAATGGTGAAAGTTTGAAGTTGGGCTAAACATGTGTTCATGAAGATCGTGCTTAGTATAATTGGGAGCATTCGGATTAGAATTTTTGTTTCTTCGATTTGTGTTACTGTGCAAAGTTTCCATGACCCTGATTGTTGGTGATCGGATGCATCGAGTAATGTTGTAATAACTGCTGCCTTGTCAAGACATCTAAACATGAAAATGAGGGATTAGAAAGGATAAAAATAAACATAAATGGGAATGTTTGGATTTTAAAGATATAAAACCACACCTGAATTGATTTGTTCTTTGAAGAATATCCGCTTCTTTGTCATAAATCTCATGCAACTCCTCCGTCGCCTCTGGTATTGGTATATTGCGGTTTCTAATAGCCACCACAAATACCTGAATAATAGAGATATTGTTAATCCATGTGATGATCTATGACTATTTGGATTTTAAGCTTTCTAGGGCTGATTTCGATGATGTAGATGATAAGGGCATTTATGTCTTTTGCACAGACAAGAGATTTAGAGCAAGTCCTTGTCCGACCTTGTTCCATCCTTTTAAGGCGACAAAAATTGTGATTTTTGTCCCATTGACACCAATCAGTCCAGTCCAATGGAGCCAAACACAGTAAAACTTGTTATGTCATTTCCTACGTAACAAACGGAGCCGAAGGCTCCGTTTGTTATACAGGACTAAACATGATGGCCTTGTACTGTGTTTGGTGTGTATTGGACTGGTCCTGATTGATGTCAATGAGACAAAAATCAGAATTTTCGTCGCCTTAAAAAGGAAGAACAAGGTCGGACAGGGACTCGCTCTTGATCTCTTATCTGTGCAAAAGACGTAAATGTCCTTGTCATCTATGTCATCGAAAATAGCCTTAGAAAGCTTGTCCAGTCCTAATATATACTTATGTTATTATACCTTCAAAATTCGAAGAATTGGGCTTTCTCCTTTGGGCACATAACTCCGATACGTGGATTTCCCCATGAGTAAGAAAAGAGCTGCTACTAAAACAGCTATAGAGCACACCGTAAACGCCCAATCCCAACCTTGGTTTGAACTAATCCAGACAACAAAAGTGACACCAAATATAGCTCCAGTTGTGACACTAAACAAAAACCAGTTGAAAAAGCTTGCAAGTGATTCCGCCTCTTTAGGGTCTCTTTCATCAAATTGATCAGCTCCCAAAGAAGGCAGAGCACCTTTAATCCCACTGCTCCCAAATGCAATTAAATACAGACCTGTAAACAGTATTGCTTCTTGACCACTTCCTGCTGGTTCACATTCACTCCCTAGGCTAGCGTTACAGGGGATTGGTCTTAACTCTTGGAAGTGTGCTTGAACTGCTAGAAGTGCATACCCCTGAAAGTTAATGAGTTAAACAGATTATTTATGAAATTGCATTTTTTTTCTTCTATATTTAATGTAACGTACCACGACTTCAAAAGATGCGAATAAAATGCAAGTCTTGAATCTTGATAAGTAGGTGTCGGATATGAAACCTCCAAAGAGTGATAGGAGAAATGCAGTGCCCATGAAGTTTGTGAGGGTTGTTGCTGACTTAGTCAAACTGAAGTTCATATAACCATAAAAGTAAGTCACCAAGCTGACAGCCATTGATAAGAATGCCATGTTCTCTAGCCCTATCATAGCTGCATAAATTGTCAAGCAAACAACAGTCAAGAATAGGCGCAAATTCAACTAAAAAGAAAAAAAAAAAAAAAAAAAAAACTTAGGCTTCCGTTATGTAGGAATTACGATAGGACATGGCAGAGCAGGTTGTATTGTGTTTGGCATGCATTGGACTAAGCCTGAGACGGATGTCAATAAGACAAATTTGTATTTTTTGCTCCAACCAAAAAGGTGGAACAAGGTAGGATAGAGACTCGCTTTCGATTTGTTGTGTGTGGAAAAGACGTGAATGCCCTTGTCCTCATCATCGAAAATATCCCTAGAAAGCTTTTGTAGTCCCATTCTTTTTCATGTAACAAACGCAGCCTTAGGTTGCGTTTGTTAGATGTGACGTGGTAGGACCGGCCTAGGCAAGCTTTAGTGATGAGGACAAGGGTATTTATGTCTTTTGCATAGACGAAAGATCGATAGCAAGTCTTTGTCCTACTTGTTTCACTTTTTTCATTGGGACAAAAAAAGAAAAATACAATTTTTGTTTCATTGACATCGGTCTTGGTCCAGTGTACGCCAAAAACAGTATAACCTGTTATGTCATACGTAACAAACGGGCCTTATGGCTATAGATGCCAACAGTTTTATTAGCTTAAAAAAAATACCATATACAAACATAGCAGCTCTCGTGCCACCAAGCCTTTTTTGGTGTCTAGGTTGTATT